TGGCCTTCAAAGTCATTGAAAAGTCCTTGAATTTCAACCCTTGGAATCTGTAGTAAACTACTCCTATATAGTAATATATTATTTTGATTGTTACCTAGTACCATAACAACATTCATTACACTCCAACAAACAAAAATAAACACAAGTTTGACTTATTCATGACCCACAAAGACGGAATTGCGTGACGACAGTAACAATGGCAATATGGCAGTCCCCTAAAGATAACTTCAAATCAGATGTGCGATATTGAAAGCCCGGGTTCACGCAGCTATGCGTCTAGTTTAATGAAAAATGTCGAGGTCACTCGCGAGAAAAAATTTTTTTCGCGAGGCATTTGTTTGCTGACGTCACCAGCGTGCACAATGGAAAATTGAAGCACGCTCGCGGTAGTGAAATTTGATTGCACGAATTTACAAGCTATGTTATAATCATATATTTCCTCGGTATATTAGCATCTCTATTGCTAGAGGCCTAACAAGCCTCATTTTCATCCGAGTTTAAATAAAGTCATCATCAGTGTCGCTCTTACATATTTCTATGGAGTCAGTCTACATGATGTTTTGACTGAAATTTATGCAAATATGTCGCAACTTAACTCTCACAATGTATACATAGCGAAATTCTTGTAAGTTTTGCTCTCATCACTTTCATCAATGTCTTCCTAGACAAATGAATAAAGGCTGATAATTTCGAAAGAAGCTGTTTGGGGCTGCGTCGGTGGGAGTAACGAAATAATTTGGATATATCAACAAAGTTGAAATGGTAAATTGGCCACCGTAGCGATTACAAAAGCTGACGTTTCGAGCGTTAGCCCTTCGTCGGAGCACACTAAATGTGTGTTAAGAAGGATCTAGGTTTAACTATTCAGATCTCTGTGTTAGATGGGAACCTTAGTGTCATTTTGGTCTACGAAACGAAAACATTCCAATTCACAAGATTCAATAGGTTTTAGGTAGCATCAGCACGCTGTGTTAATCAGCACGCTGTGTTAAAAAGGATTTTATGAAATTGTCATCAGCGCTTAACGTGTACTTTTATAAAGTAACTGCACCTAAAATAAACTCCTTAGCTACAAGTTACATCAAATTGTCACGGTAAGGTTCTAAACGTCATAGGGACGAATTAAAACTTGAGAAAATACACAATTCATGCCGACAATCTAAGCCGCAATGACTGCAATGAAGTTCCGTGTTGATAACAACAACAAGTAACTTCTATCGTTTATGGCATGATATGTTAAACAACAACCAAACTGTTTCATCCAATAGGAAAATCATTAATTAAGGTATATCAAGTCTCTGAACGAGTTGCAGAACATTTTAAAACAAACATTTTCGAATGACGAATCGGAAAAGCTCCTAATAGACCTCCTTTATTTACACGTTACACTACTATGACTGTCTCGATTGAGTCAATTAGATTTTGCCAAGATATAAACCTCATTTATCTTACCTCACTGCTACATATTCTCAGCTGATACCGCAGTTTCATCTGCATACACGAAGAAAGAACTCGCAGAACGAAGTTGTGAAGGAAAGAGTAGGTTTGCAACGAAATAAAGCAATAACCAAAACCTCAGGCACTGGACGCAATGATCTACAGACCGTGACAATGTTAAGAAATTTGCATCTTCTCCCAAGGATTTGTCACAAGATGCGTGACTGTCACTACAACGCAAAAACACCTGATTTTGAGACGTCTTTGATGACAATTCATATCAATAACAACAGATTGTGGTTTAGATTATTTTAATTGTTCTCTCTACCCTCCCTAAATGCTCGAAATAACCATGGTTTGTGACTGAGAAGGGTTTTGACTTGAGAAGCGGTCATGGATAGTCATTGGAAAGCCGTTTACTCAAGGACTTTGGCCTAAACTACAGCAACTTACAGGACGTCTTCAAAAGCACACCTTCCTAAACCTAGCTTATGTCAAAAAAAAGAAAAAGAAAAAAAGAAAGAAAAGAGAGAAGAAAAAAAAACTAAACAGTAACAATAATGATAATAATGATAATAATGATAATAATGATGATAATAATAATAATAATAATAATAATAATAATAACAATAAACAAGTTAATTTGTTTTTAACAACTGAGTTTGGTGATGTAAATTGGCCACTGTAGGGAGATTCTAAAGCTGACGTGTCCAGCTCTTTTTCAGAGCAGTCAACAAAACAAATAAAAACAAACAAACAAACAAACAAATGCTGTGTCGTCGTGTCATTTCGGTCCATTGAAAAGGCCGAAAAAGACTTCGGCCAATATCTAGTCAAATTGGTCTCACTCTCAAGCGTATGTACTTGTTTCTGTCGAAAGCTTCCTGTGTACATTCAATAAGCTCTTGCTTTAGCAATCTCGAATAGCCTCGATGGCCAATTCGTTTTCCTACTCTTCACAATCAAAAAATTTGGAGTTTATGCACTTCTTGAAGTTACAGTCATAAACCTTTAGGATGATTTACGAGTTTTGGAACACCGCTAAATTAGATAAAATCTACGATTACTAAGTAGCCGAATCTGTTCTCGCTAAACATTCGGGTGTGTATCGATTTTTATTATATATAGGGTGGGTATTTAGCCCAAAATATACTAAAATTGGATACATATCATTGAGTACAGCTCGAGAGCTTAGCATTCACCATGGGGGTTAACCAGGGCCAAAACAAAAAACAAAAACGAAACAAAACAGACAAACAAACAAGAAAACACGCTAAATGGGTACTTTACTAAGAAATTACGAGTAATTGACTCTGAGCCAGATCCTGAACTTCCCTTCTACTTGTGTCGAGTTTTCAAGCCTTTGAAAATTTCTCCCGTAAAATAAGTCGATGAAACCTTTAACTATTTTGACTTATATACATTCATTCAAGGGAGTGTTGTGGCAAAATAGAACAAACTCATCTTTGGGGAATGTCCATCGATTCTCGATACTCTGAGAAATACGGTGTATTATTTCTTGCTCCTGCAGTTACTCCAAAAATGCAATACTGAACACAAAACATTGCTGGTACGAGCGTCTGCTCAGAGTTCGTGCCATGGAATTTCCACGCGGCAAGCCCATACTTCTCTCCGTACTAATTAAAACAAAGACAAAATAAAAAAATAGAATGCAACTCACTATCTTAGACTGATAAATTCAAAACTTTTCTACATTCCCGTCTACTTTGTAGAACTCATTCTGTCTGTCAGCCCGATTACAGGTATTTTTCATAGCGAACTGTATCAAAAGACAAGCTAAGCACTTGCTTTGCTTAATCGATGATGTCGCCGAGAATGAATTTCAGAGTTTTGTTAATACTTTTGGGTAACGAAGAATTTGTTTCAGGAAAAGGTTTTTTTCCGAGCAAACGAACATTTAGCGGCCAAGGTCAGGGTTCCAACTCCATCATTTTAAAGTCAAGTGTGCTCGAACATGCTCTTTACAGGATCAAAGACTGAAGCTTCATTTTACATTTATAAACACCAGACTGTTATCGTAAAAACACAATCTTTATTTTTTGTCTCATGAACTGACGAAAGCCTCCCTCAGTTGGGAGACATTGTGAATTGCATTTTATTTCTTGCTAGTTTCGAGCATTAAAATAGCCTTGGTAAATTGATAACCTTCATAGAATTGCGCAATCAGAAAATTAATATAGTTCAGTCAACTTTTTCATTCGCACAACTGGGAGAAAATCGTATTATTCATTTCAATATCCGTGATTTCATTCAAATGTTTTATTCTTTATCTCTTTATCACGGTTTACAGTAAGTAAAAAGTCAAAGATAATTACATCAACGTCGAGGTCAACACCAGTATTTATGTCCACTGATTCGAGCTGAAGGGTGAGGAATGACTCTGGATATACTCATGTTTAGTGAAGTGAAGTGAAGTGAACACTTTATTTGAACACGATGGAGTATTCAGCATAGCTGGTGGGGTTGTGTATTTACAAATAAAAAACAAGTATTAAAAATTAATTATGAACCTATAATTATGTTTAGATCAGTATGCTATGTACTAAGACTGTAAATTTAAAATTCTAAAAATAAATATAATCATCATCTTTATATTTAATTAAAGCGGCAATTGGATCGAAATTTAGTCTTTGCAATATTCATTAACATCATTGTCACACAACATGGCGGTTTAAAGGATTATACTTTGGGACTAGGCCTAACTTAGTAAATACGCTATTGGCTTGCTTAGCCACTCAAGTGTTTTCCTCGTGAATACACAATACGTAAAGACTAGTATTGAAGAAACCTAAACTATCGGCAAGTGCGTTACTTTAGTATAGTTTGTGTGGTGATGTTCCTTTAGCTCTACATATTTTTGCATGGCAGCGAAGGTTTTTAATGCAAATACTTCCAATAAGTGAAGGAGGGGTACCAATATTTTTAATCACATGCTGTATAAGCCTCTAAAACTCTGATATGGTATTGTTCAAAAAATTCTGCAGACGTGAGATCATTTCATGCGTCATTTGACGTTTTTCAATGAAAAATATAATACTTGTAATTGAGGAAGCTTGTCAAGAATACTGAAGCAGAAATACGTAGTGAAAAAAATGTATAAATTCATTTCTTCCTGTGATTATCAGGGTGGGAACTAAAACATTTTAAAGGAGGGAGGTCACAGTTACAAATGCTGTGCCATTTGCGCACATTGATTCCACTGCTGCTCTTCCTAGTACAGCGGACTCATATTTACACCGCAGGAAAGACCGCTGATTGGATTATCGAACACCAAGGAGATTTATTCCATAAACATTTTTCAGATCCAAGGAGATAGTGCTTAGTGCAGCCCACGTAGCTTTGAGATACGAGCGTCTCTGCAGAAGAGCAATAATGATAGTACTAAGAATAGTGATATGCAAATGTTATTGAGCACCTGTGAGTCGAAACGTAACATAGGATGACGAAGAAAGATTTGGAACGTAGAGTCTAACGTCGATCAGCTGTTTCACCTACTGACGTCTCGAAAACTGCAAGTGACTGCCCCACGAATTCAAAAAAGTATGTCTTTGTTTGAGTTCGGTGGTACAAAGCCCTTACAAAGGCAATCAGCCAACTTAAATGTTCTCGCAAAATGCAAAGGCAACATCTTTAAATTTGAAGGTAATCGCGAATCTTCCTTGGTGGAGGAGGAAGACTGTGATAGCCTTTCAGAGATGGAAATGGAACCAGTGGATAGTGCTCCTGAACAGCACGTCGTTGAGATGAAAGAACAGGAAGAAAATTTGATGTGTGGTACTGTCACCTGGCGACTGTATTGGAAATATGTCAAGGAGGTCAACCACTACCCATGATCGTAGTTGTAGCAGTTTCCTTCATCTCAGCCCAAGGTAAGAAACTGCACTGAAGAAACTGAATCGTGGGAGGAAGAAATCAAAGTTTTTTCTACTCTCAGTAGAAAGCAGGCAATTAAAAAAAGCTAATTTTAACCAAAGGAAATCCTGTGTTTTGCTAACATCTGCCCTTCAAAATCAACAACGGAGTCCTTGAAAGTTGTGGTTTAATTTCTGTTTAAGCATGTCGTCATTTTGGTGACAAGGTTCATGAATTAATTCAATACAATACAGTCGCCCGTTCGAGGTTCTTTACCAAGTGAGGAGGTTTTTGTTATTTCTTAGCATGGTAAAGGAAATCTAACCGTTAAAACCTTTTTGACCGTCAACTTTAAAAATTGGCAACGAAGTGAACACCAACGAGAGGTTTATTCAACGACCTTGGAAGGAAAAGATTAAATTTTTTTTTTTTAAATTATGATATTTTTAGGCAGGACGTTTAATTCCACTCTTCAAGACAATTTTTTTCAAATAGCATCATTTTTGGCCATTCATTATCGTTTACACGCCGTGTGACTATAGGAAAATACTTGAATACATTTAGTCCGCTTAAGGATTTCTAGGTTCTTGTTTGTTGTACCGAACACCATCTCCTCGTCAGGTCAGTCTTGACTCCACCTTTCTAATAATTGTAATGTTTCAGTTGCCCTAATAGTTCCAAACTGGTGGTTGGCTAAAATTGCAGAGATGTCAAATGAAAAGCAGAAAGCTGTGGACACCCATGTTATTTACGCAAGTCAGGTTGCTGTATCTATCATTATCATGACAGCATCGTCCTTCCTGTTCTACTACCTTCTCAGAGCGTCCAAAGCCCTGCACAACAAAATGACCACAGCGATAATCAAGGCTCCTGTGTCGTTTTTCGACTCTACCTTAGCTGGTCGTATCCTCAATCGATTTCTAAAGATGTAGATTGCATGGACGACGAGTTACCGCCTCTGTTTTTGGAAGCCATTAAATTTTCCCTTTTCGCACTAAGTACTGTTTTGGTGCCTGCTGCAACAAACTACTGGCTTTTCATAGCCCTTCTCCCAATCATTGTGATATTTGGTTACTACGCATGTTACCAGTTGCAGTCTTAACGAGAACTGAAACGCATCGAAGCACTGAAGTGCAGCCCCGTTTACTCGCACATCACCAGGACATCAAATGGTCTTGAAGTAATTCACACTTCCCGAATGAACGAGGCTTTTCTTGGCAAGCTTTGCAGGTTAGTTCTCAAGAATTGCTGTCAACAGCTAAAACGCTCGACTTTTGGTTAATTTTTTGAGCTTTTTCTTATTCTTTTTACAAGTCTTTTTCCATTGTGGTGAACTTTGAGCAGCAAAATGGAACATGATATGTCCATGATATGAAAAATGCCATACAAGGCTAGCTTGTGCAATCTTTCGTGTCTCACTGAAATATCAGTCCCAGCACTCCTAAATAATCCAATCTTAAAACGTTGCTATTTAATTTATAGAGTTTATTTTTCTCAGCACTGGCTGGACTCGCTTTAACATACTCACTGCAATCCATAGACATCAGCCAATGTTCTGTGCGACAGGCCTCAGAGGTGGAAAATCTGATGACATCAGTTGAGTGGGTGATGTATTACACCAAGATAGGGTCTGAACCCGGGTACAGCGTTGAAACTCGCCCCCCTCAGTCATGGCACGATAAAGGAAGCCTGAAAGTAAATCATCTCTCCTTAGCTTACTATGAAGGCGGACCTTGTGTATTAGAGGACATCAGCTTTAGCGCCTCTGAGAAAGAAAAGATTGGAATTGTAGGTCGAACTGGCGCTGGAAAGTCATCTTTGGTTTCTGCTCTTTTCCGTATGCCGGAAGCCTCAGGGAAGGCAACAATATGAAATGATAAAAATTACCTTAGTTCCCTACGATTGAGTCACACTGATTTCAATTTTTAGAAAAGTTCTCAAACCTCAGGTTCCTTGTGACAGCAATATCCCAGTTCTATTCAGTCTCCCCGGTCTATAGCTAAGAAAAATTTATAATTCTTTAATGAAACGAAAAGTATTCTTGACCACGTGTATTTCTCATAATGTACCCACATGCCTGCAGCACAGTACAGTACAGTATTTGCATTAAATTAACATTTTGCGGGGGACTTTGGCTGCATTGAGCAGTTTACAATTTTGAAAGGAGATTTTGCAAATGCTCCCAATATCAGAATCAAGGCCAGACCACAACACCAGCAGCTACGTTCCGTACTCTTTGCGATAGGTGTGTGGGTTCCTTAACGTGCCTTGCTAACCAGCACAAGGAAGATGCAGGAGACGGGGCCTACAAATTTTTCGTTTTTATCCGGGAAGACTAGAATGTCTAAACATTTGTAGATGTCATTGCAAAGGCAGCACATCATCCTCAGTTAATTTAAGACCCTAGGTGTTGGTCCGGTCTCTACAGCACGATCAACCAGGCGGCCGTCTCAGGTAGACATGCAGAACTGTTCATTTACTATAATGCTTATCGTATAATTCATTTGTACAGGTAATTATCGATGGCATTGACCATACATCCATCAATCTCCAAGAGGCTCGCCGATCCATAGCTGTTATTACGCAAGCTCCGTTGCTTTTTGCTAGAACATTAAGAAGGAATCTGGATCCATTTAAAGATCACACAGACGCAGATCTGTGGAAAGCATTGGAAAATGTGCAGTTGAAGACTCTTGTGGAAGACTTTTCAGGTCAGCTTGAGTTCAAACTAAAAGAGTCCGGTGCAAACCTCAGCGTTGGTGAGAGACAGCTGGTCTGTTTGGCTCGTGCATTAGTTCAGAAGAGCAAGATCATTGTCATGGATGAAGCCTCTGCTAATGTGAATTTCAGGGCTGACCGTCTGGTCCAGCAAGTTATTCGTAACAAGTCCAAAGAATCCACAGTGCTAATCATTGCTCATCGACTGAATACCATCCTAGATTATGAGTGGTAGAGTTTGACAAACCTGAATCGTTGATGAGAAATGGGGGAATATTCACTGAGATGGTAAAAAAACCAGGGCCAGAGTAAGAAAACTTTAAACTGACTACTGCTGTCTGGTTTCCATCAGAGATGTTCAGATAAAAAATCTTCATTTCACTTTCTTCTTCTTGTTAACTGAAGAAATTTAAATTAAACATTTTCATGTATGCTATGTGCTGGAGGCCTACACGGCAGAAATTCACTCTTTCACAAGGATTTTTCACATTTTACTCGAGCATATTAACCAGGCTGTTTGTAATCATTTCTTTCACTCTATATCACGAGGTTATCGAAACGTTGTGTGCTTTCAGTATATTTCATTATTACATTTGTTACCAACTGTACAATGTTAATATTACAAACTTCATACGAGAGACAAGTGTAAATCAAGCTGGCTTTGGCTTCGATTACTATGAGGATTTGTGGGAGACTTTTTTTCGTATAATTGTCGATGCATGTAGATCTGAATGAGATCACGATGCTAGCTGGCCTTTTGCCTTTAACTCACTTGATAGAATTGTGTATGCTCATAAAGGATCCTCCGTTTTTGAAAGACTCCACATCCAAATTCATCCCTGTACGATGCAAAGTATAGTAACATTTGGGGGAAGAAAGATTATCACAATTACAAATTATGATTAGAGTAGGTGGGACAATAAAACTTCAAATTAACCCAGGCGTCGAGTCCACGGCTTTCCTTCAGAACTGGTAAGGCGCTGTAGCTAATTCGAGTCATCAAGGCGGCTTAGAAATGGCTGTTGTGTGACTTGGTGACTTACCCGGGAATATAAGTTTATTAAAGAGAATCATTTATTTAAAATGGGAAAAAAGGTATTAATCAAAGAGAAATCATTATAGTTTGACATAGTGTTGAAGCGACCTCTGAGATAGGTAAGAAAGGAACCTGTTATCGTTTATCATCTTTTGCAAAGGATTGATATATGCTAAGAGATGGTCAAGTCCTCTCTTGTGCATGCTAGAGTGGATAAATTCTCTTGTAGATGTGCGGTGTAAACAGATTCGCTTTACTTTCATAGATGCTCGAACCCGATTTTTGAACATTTATTAATAATAATAATAATTTTTGATATTTATATTGCGCAAATTAACATGTGAATATGATCAAATGCGCATCACAACACTTTTCGGGGGACTTTGGCCGGACTGCATCAGCAGTTTACAAACAATCGAAGGAACTTATTTGAAGATGCCCCCTCCACCCCTATCAATTCCCAGTAAACAGGCCAGACCACATCATAGAAATCTCGTGAGTGGGTTCTTTAAAGTCCCCTGCCTAACCAGATTAACTAATTAATAGATGCAGGAGACGGGACCTACGGTTTATTCGTCCTTATCCGAGAAGACTATAATGTCTATCCATTTCTTGATATTAGAAGGTAGCGCATTCTCCTCAGTTATTTTAAGACCTTGGGTGTTGGTCCGGCCGGGGCTCGAACCATCGACCTCGACCTCCCGCACAACAGTCCAGCGCTCTAACCAATTGAGCTAACCGGGTGACGGTTATTTATTGAATACACCATTCCTTGGAAAAGAAACAGAACACATTCAAGCCCGTGTTTTAAAAGCCGTCACCCACGGGAATGTTTGAACCCGACTGAAGTCAGTTCGAAGATTCATCGAATGTTTCCCAAACAATTTCATTCTTAGTTGAGAGAAAGAACTGTTTTAACTACAATAAGCAGAATGTGGCGTGTCACGAATGATACGATGAAAGTAAACGACGGCTTTCAAATCTACTTAATAAAGTCCATTCTGGATGAAAAAGAAGCGAATTTGTGGTGAGTGCGTGAGCGTAGTTGTCGTACTTGTTTATACGCGTACATCACGAGTGCCATGACTGTCGCTCCTACAATTCACCAAATGCATGTGTGCCCAGTGCGTGAAACAGTTTTCTGTTGCTAACAGGTAAAGCATTAGACTAAAAGTTCGTCGTTTACAGGTTGCAGGTGATATCTTTTGCTTTTTTGGCCAGACTCTCTAAAAGCAAACTATTCATGGGAGCGGGAACAGAACCCATAACCCAGGATGTACCAGTGTGAAGGAGATAGAGATGGATCAGTCTTCTGCTTCGCATGCTACCAGTAGTCCTGAAAGAGTCGTTTTGAGATGGATCCTGAATCTTCCAAAAACAAATGGCACGATCTCCACGCGCTATCACAGTGCTCAGGCAAAGAAACTATCGCAGCTTTACACCAATCATTTTTATTTACTTAAAGTGATTTTCCTTACCATTTAAAACTGGACGGACGTAAACCTACGTAGATAAATCGTCGGTTGTTCGAAGGGTGCATGACGCTACCCGACCGATGAATCGCTCTCAAGCGGATAAGTGTTGACAAATCTTACTGCGCTATCCACCGGATAGAGGACTATCCAGTGGATAGCGTTTCCCATACTTCTTACAACTGGGGCTAGAATTGTAGTTTATATAAAAGTATATTGTTAAACGATAAAAATACAACTATATTCAGTCTAATATCGTAAGGGTTTACTTATATTGTTGTTGGGGAAAGGAATAGAAATGTTGTGTTACTTTAAACCATTCGATACAAGGGGTTATGAAAAGGCAGGTTGATTGCCTCTTATTCCGTTTGGAAGTCTTATCTTAAAGGTAGAGTTTGGTCACGTTTTCCTCGTTATGATCGTGAAGTTGACATGGAAACAGTTTTTCAGTTTCTACGGTAGTTAGCCTCCCGGTTAGCTCAATGGATAGAGCGCTGGACTGTTGTGCGGGAGGTCGAGGGTTCGAGCCCCGGCCGGACCAACACTCACGGTCTTAAAATAATTGAGAAGAATTTGCTACCTTTCTACAACATCAAGAAATGGTTAGATATTCTAGTCTTCTCGGATAGGGACGAATAAATGGAGGTCCCGTCTCCTGCAGGGTCGGGGTAGGAGATGTTCATTTCCCACACACGAGATTACTGTGTGATGGATGTCCTCCCCTGGGGTGGAATGGGTGGGATATTGGGCGCACTTAATTTGGAGCCTTGCTCTGTTGTGCGACCCTCACCACACTCTGGTTAAAGTGATTAAATAAATACTAGATAGTGTCTTGGGAAAGCTATGTTATTAATTATGTTAATTTGTTAGTCCAGGAACAGTGAACCTGTCTGGTAACTTGAAAGTCACGTTCGACCCCTCTCGTTCCTAGAGATGACCTAAGGTGTAACATGTGATACCCTTCATGTTTCGCAATTAGATAGTTGTTATTACTGGCGCGTAGCAACTTAGAGGTGGTACTTGTGAACGCCCCCTCTTCTCCAACTGTTGTGATCATGATGTTGTTATGTAACGGTTTTCTAAGGTAATTGTCTTTTTTTTTTTAGATATCCCTTCAAGTGTGAATAATATTCTGTCAATAGGTTAGTTATGATTTTTATATTACCAATCTTGTTTCTATTCTGGCCGATCTCAGCTGTAAGATAAGAAATTTAAGGTAGAAAAAGATTTTGTAACTGCGCAAATAACTCGAAGGCGTATACCTAGTGAGCAGGAACTGTCATACGTAATCTAACATGATTCGATGGTTGAGACGGAACGATGACGATACAAGAAGATTGACAGCTTAGTAATGTCACCTGCAGTGTCACCTTTATAAACGGTGACCCTCGTTTTTCTAGTTAGATAGAAGCTAGTCCCCGTTGTAACAACTTGAGAAGAGAAGAGATTAAAGAAGAGTCAACCAAACCAACTACGAGTGTTAGAGATTTTACTTCTAATAATATCAGTACTTTTTATTCTGAGCGCTTGTTAATAAACAGGTTTCAGATCGTGACAGATAATTACTGAAAATATCTCATATCAGATTGTTCAGTTCATGAGAAATCCTGCCACAATAACAGTCCAAAGTTGTTCGGGCTCTTTTTCCACATTTTTCTTTAGGTTTAAGAAAACAAGAACACTGCCATTTACCAGCCGAGTTTATTCTGTGTTACGAAAGACTGCGCCCTATTTTCTGAGTAGCGGGAATAATTTCTCCTAAAACAGAACATTTAGGTGGTGAAAACCACATGTGAATAACTGGGAAAACTGAGCTATGTGGCTCATGTTTTTACAAAGTCCATAGCCAGAATCGTTTATGGCAAAGATAAAGCATCCCTGTCTACAGAAGAGAATTCCTCGGCCAAATCCCTACGATTGACCCTACGTAGGGCAGTGTATAAAGTTGTATAAGTTGCATCTGTATGGTTTTTCTGTTTCCAAACTCGCAAAGTTTGATAGGCATTTTCCTCCAATACTTTATATCGCATTTCGATCGGTTTAATTATGGACTCATCCAGGTCCAGCAAATGACGCCTAAGGAACTTCCAATTGTTAAGGTTCTGTGCCAAGTCTTGCAGCTCCGCCAGAGTGGGATAGCCTTCTTTAACTGTATCTGCCAAGATGATAGTCAAAAGGAGATTAATCATTTGGATTTTACACTTTGGGCACCTTGTTTTCGCGAGTTACAGAACATGTTAATTTAATGATTTAATCCAATTTAATTCAATTTAATTTAGTCCATTTTCATTGCATTAAGTTTTGCAGTGGGGAAGGACTAGAAAGGAACATAGGAACCATACGTGCTATTCCACCCTCCCACCCATCCCACCCGAGAGGAGGACATCCATCACACAGTAATCTCGTGTGTGGGAAGTTAACGTCTCCTACCTCAACCCTGCAAGAGACGGGACCTCCATTTAATCTAACCATTTTTTGATCTTATAGAAAGGTAGCAAATTCTTCTCAATTATTTTAAGACCCTGAGTGTTGGTCTGGCCGGGACTCGAACCCTCGACCTCCCGCACAACAATCCAGCGCTCTATCCATTGAGCTAACCGGGAGGCGGTTTGTAATTTTGTCTCCAGCTTTTAATTGACATTCTAAAACAGCGACAGGAACAATATAAAATCACTGACACAGGTATTCTTCCTTCTTCGGTTATCATTTACTCCGAATGAGTAACTT